TTCTTCTTCTTCTTCTTCTTCCTCTTCCTCTTCCTCTTCCTCTTCCTCTTCCTCTTCCTCTTCCTCTTCCTCTTGTTCTTCTTCTGTCAGGTCTGGAGCAGACATTGTCGATCATGGTACCGCATTCCTTTCTGCTGTCTGTCTTCGTGTCTCAGTTCGGTGTTATAATTCGTTGCAAAGTTGTTCAGACCACCTGTGATTGCTGTTCTGTCTTCCTCTGCTCTTCTTTCCCTCAGTATTTCCACCCAGCAGTTTCTCTAGTCCATTTGATCTATTTACGTGGCCCAAAAAATATCAATTGTCTTTTACTGATGGTTATCATCATGGATCTTTCACTTCCTGTCTTTTACTTTTTTTTTTTTTTGGGAACCCTGCCCAATTCTATCATCTGGCGCTTTTGTGTTTAGTAATAACAACAAACTGTGCAACATTTTGGGTTTTGAAATTAACTGTTAGTCTTAGAGTGATAAACGGGAAAATGTTTTACATAAATAAATACAGGAATAAATAAGTAAATAAACATGTTACTTCACTCTTATAACGTTTTTGGGTAAGTTACACATCTAAGTGTTGCCATAGTCCCAACTGGAGATGGCTACCACAACTGGTTAGCAGTTAATTGTTTAGATCATGTTAGTCCTACATTCCCCGGCTCTTTCGAGTCCCAACTGGAGATGGCTATTACAACTGGTTAGTAGTTGATTGTTTAGATCATGTTAGTCCTACATTCTCCGGCTCTTTCGAGTCCTAACTGGAGATGGCTACTACAACTGGTTAGTAGTTGATTGTTTGGATCATGTTAGTCATACATTCCCCGGCTCTTTCGAGTCCCAACTGGAGATGGCTACCACAACTGGTTAGTAGTTAATTGTTTAGATCATGTTAGTCCTACATTCCCCGGCTCTTTCGAGTCCCAACTGGAGATGGCTACTACAACTGGTTAGTAGTTGATTGTTTAGATCATGTTAGTCCTACATTCCCCGGCTCTTTGGAGTCATGAAGTGGGCACCCTCTGTCCCGCTCCCTTGTGGAGTCATCTTGACAGTGTCACCGTAGGTTCCAAAAGTTTGCTCGAAGTCTCCTACTATGGTGGGTGCCATCTACTCTTACTTTTTACTAACTTGTGCTCGTTTCCACCCTCCTCAGAAGCTGCAGTCGGCCATCTTGGCCCCCCTGAGAGCTCTCTCGAGCATCGCCTACAACGACATACGCCAGAAGCAGCTGGAGAGCGTGTCACACGTGCTACAGAACAACGGGGACTCGCTGCTACACGGCTGGCCTCTCGTGCTGGAGGTCATCGGTGCTGTGATTCAAGAACATGGGTGTGTAGATGATCTCTTTTTCTTTTTCTCCTTGTTTGTCTGTCTTTCTCTCTATTGTCTAGATTTTCTCTATGAGTCTGCCTGACTCTCTGTATAAATAGGTCATTTCTGGGTCAGACAAACGTAAAGATAAAGAGAGAGTCTCTCTCTCATTATATTTCTGTTTGGCCAACCCAGAAATTACCTATATATTGGCCAGGCGATAGATTCACAGTAAACCGAATCAAATAAACAAACCACTGGTGAGTTTGCTTCGAATTACCTATATGAATATTTTGTACAGCGTAAACTAACAACAAATTATAATGATATATAATACAATGTCATTTAAAAAAGGGAAAAATAGCCACGCCAATCACTTCCGACATGTCCATTAACGTAACCCCTCCCCCTTTTAAAAAAGCAAAAGGAAAACAACAAAAACAACGACAACAACAACAACAGTGACAACAACAACAGCGACAGCAACAACAGCGACAACAACAACAACAAAAGACAACAACAACAACAACAAACAAACAACAACAAACAAACAACAACAACAACATCTCACCGCTACCTCCACCCTCACACCCTCACCCCCGCCTCCTCAACTTATCCTCCCTCTTCCTCCCACCTCCAGAGAGAAGCTGATCCAGATGGCGTTCCAGTGCCTGCAGCTGGTGGTCACAGACTTCCTGCCCATCATCCGGGCCGCCTACTGCCAGGTGGTGGTGCAGGTGGCGGCAAAGTTTGGTCTGCAACAGCAGGAGCTCAACGTGAGCCTCACAGCTATAGGACTGCTGGTGAGTCAGTGGTGGTACTTCCTGTCTCTACTTGAGTCTGTGTGTATGTGTGTGTCCCTCCCCCCCCCCT